TACAGCCTGGAAAGACTCTTCAGTTTAATTTGTCCATGCTGACCAGATAATCTAAATTGATCTAATCCTATTTGCCAGCATTTGGCCCACATCCCTCTAAGCCCTTCCTATTTGTATAGCAATCCAGATGCCTTTTAAATGTTATAATTGTACCAGCCTTCACCACTTCCTCTGCCAGCTCATTCCATACACTCACCAACTTCTGCATGAAAAATTTGCCCTTTAGGTCCCTTTTAAATCTTTCTCCTGTCACCTTAAACCTATGCCATCTAGTTCTGGACTCCCCCTGGCGAAACCAGTTGAGTTTCTGGTCAATGGTAACATGTAGGAAGTCGATAGTGAAGACTTCAGCGATGAATGTCAATGTGCAATGATTAGATTGACTCTTATGCGAGATGGTCATTGCCTGGCATTTGTGTGGAGTGAGTGTTGTTTTCCACTTGTCCGTGTAAGCCTGGATATTGTCCGTAACGCATGGACTGCTTCAATATCTGAGGAGTTACGAACAGTGCTGAATATTGTCCCATCAACAGCAAATATCCCCATTTCGAACATTATGATGGAGGGAAGGTCATTAATGAAGCAGCTGTAGATAGCTGGGCCTAGCACACGACTCTGAGGAACTCCTGCAGAGATGCCCTGGAGCTGAGATGTCTGACCTTCAACATCCACAACCATCGACTGACAAGTGATTCATTTCAAAACTTGATCGCTATTTCTCCCCAACCCTTGCTTAAACAGGCTGCTCAATAGCAAAAACAGGGAGTATATAGCCAGACTCCTAATTATTGTCATATATACTTCATATGAGTTGTTTAAAGTATGAAAATTCAAGGACTCAAAAGTTATATCCTTAGACTGCCGAATATCCATGTAACTGTAAAGGGTAGCCACAGGCATGATGGAATGAATGGCCTCATTCTATGATTCAATGAGCTGGGAGTGAGTGACAGTTGTAATGTATCCAAGAGATGCAGATGGTTTACCAGGTGTATTGTGGCTAGCTGGGAAATATTTACAATTTAATCAAAGGTCCAAATGATGTACACAAAAACAGAAATTTCTTGGGGTGCAGGCATAAAGGGTAATTCAAAGTCAACACACACTTTTTCCAGGAACCCCAACCCAGTCAAATTTGTACCTCAGGCTTCAGCTACTGGTCTGGGCAAGCTGGAGATCGAATTGCGCGTTTGCAATTGGTTTGGTCTTCTTCATGAACACATTTCAAGTTATTTGCTTCACTAGCAATGGTCTCAGTTGAGTGTGGGGCTGTTGTGGGGTTGGGATTGAGGCTGGTTGCGGAAGCTATGCTGGTCATGGTTCACATGATCAATCATCTTCCTTCTTGGTGCAAGTGACTAATGCTCATCTCTTCTGGGGCAGCATGCACCTGGGGTGGAGAACCAAGCAGATCACTGCCAATGTCAGATCCATTCCGAGGTTCTCCAACTTTTTCACGGGTTTCACAACAAGAACTACGTGGAACAATCCCTCTTCCGTACCTACACCGGCTTTAAACCCCACCTCTTCCTCCACTACATTGATGACTGTATCGGCGCCGCCTCGTGCTCCCACGAGGAGCTCGAACAGTTCATACACTTCACTAACACCTTCCACCCCAACCTTAAGTTTACCTGGACCATCTCTAACACCTCTCTCCCCTTCCTGGACCTCTCTGTCTCCATATCGGGCAACCACCTAGAAACCGATATTCATTTCAAGCCCACCGACTCCCACAGCTACCTAGAATACTCCTCCTCCCACCCACCTTCCTGCAAAAATGCTATCCCCTATTCCCAATTCCTTCGCCTCCGCCGCATCTGCTCCCAGGATGAGGCATTCCACTCCCGTACATCTCAGTTGTCCTCGTTTTTCAAGGACCCTAACTTCCCCTCCTCGGTGGTCGAGAACACCCTCAACCGTGTCTCCCACATCTCCCGCACCTCATCCCTCACACCCCGTCCACGCAATAAAAACCAAAAAAGAATCCTCCTCGTCCTCACGTACCACCCCACCAACCTCCGGATCCAACGCATCATCCTCCGACACTTCCGCCATCTGCAATCTTTCCCTCCCCACCTTTATCTGCTTTCCGGAGGGACAACTCTCTCCGTGACTCCCTTGTCCGCTCCACACTCCCCTCCAGCCACCACACCCGGCACTTTTCCCTGCAACCGCAGGAAGTGCTACACCTGCCCCCACACCTCCTCCCTCACCCCCATCCCAGGCCCCAAGAAGACTTTCCACATCAAGCAGATGTTCACCTGCACATCTGCCAATGTGGTATACTGCATCCGCTGTACCCGGTGTGGCTTCCTCTACATCGGGGAAACCAAGCGGAGACTCGGGGACCGCTTTGCAGAACACCTACGCTCGGTTCGCAATAAACAACTGCACCTCCCAGTCGCAAACCATTTCAACTCCCCCTCCCATTCCTCAGACGACATGTCCATCCTGGGCCTCCTGCAGTGCCACAACGATGCCACCCGAAGGTTGCAGGAACAGCAACTCATATTCCGCTTGGGAACCCTGCAGCCCAATGGTATCAATGTGGATTTCACAAGTTTCAAAATCTCCCCTCCCCCCACCACATCCCAAAACCAGTCCAGCTCGTCCCTGCCTCCCTAACCTGTTCTTCCTCCCACCTATCCCCTCCTCCCACCTCAAGCCGCACCTCCATCTCCTACCGACCAACCTCATCCCGCCCCCTTGACCTGTCCGTCCTCCCTGGACTGACCTATCCCCTTCCTAACTCCCTACCTACACTCACCTTTACTGGCTCCATCCCCGCCTCTTCGACCTGTTTGTTTCCTCTCCACCTATCCTCTCCTCTATCCCTCTTCTATCCGCCTCCCACTCTCTCCCTATTTATTTCAAAACCCCCTTCCCCTCCCCCTTTTCTGATGAAGGGTCTAGGCCCGAAACGTCAGCCTCTCTGCTCCTATGATGCTGCTTGGCCTGCTGTGTTCATCCAGCCCTGCACCTTGTTGTCTCGGATTCTCCAGCATCTGCAGTTCCTACTATCTCTGAGTCTCTTCCTTCCAGATTAAAGTCCGTTACAGCTACTTTTAGGTTGTATGGCTCAGCACTAAGTAACATGAAACATGTTTAGGAGATAGTAGGAACTGCAGATGCTGGAGAATCTGAGATTACAAGGTGTAGCGCTGGATGAACACAGCACGCCAAGCAGCATCAGAGGAGCAGGAAAGCTGACGTTTTGGGTCTAGACCCTTCTTTCTGTTTAGCTGTCAGGCATTTATCAGGCATATGTGGAAAATCTGGTCTATGTTTTTACCAAATAGGTTGATATCAAAAATATTTTTGAAATCAGGATGATGCACATACATTCAAGGAAGCTAGACTGTCCACAATATATGATATCCAAATTAAGTCTGCAGAGTGGGGATTTACAGAATTACAGTTAAAACCCAAAAATAATTACTTCTTCTCTCGAATCGGAGAATCCCTACTGCGTGGAAGCAGGCCATTCAGCCCATCAAGTCTAAACTGACCCTCCGAAGAGCATCCCACCCAGACCTAATCCATCCCTGTAACCCAATGTTTCCTGTGGCTAATCCACCTAGTCTGCATATCCCTGGACACAATGGGTAATTTAGTATGGTCAATCCACCTAACCTGCACATCTTTGGACTGTGGGAGGAAACCAGATCACCTAGAGGAATATCCACACAGACACAAGGAGAATGTGCAAACTCCACACAGACAGTCGCCCAAGGCTGTAACGGAACTGGCAGTGTGAGGTAGCAATGCTAACCACTGAGCCACTGTGCTGCCATTATAAAGATGTGATTTTAATACCACAGTTGATTGTAATTGTCAACACATTAGTAGCTTGGAATAAAGATGGCTTTAAAATTTTCTTTGTATTCTTTAGTTTTCTGTGCGTGCAATGTTCACATTTATGTCAGAATTTTAAATATGAATTGGTCTTTTTCAGGTAAAGATGGTGATTTTTAATGATAAGTTCTTCATCAACAATCTATTAAAACCGGCTTCCAAGTCTCTAATAAGCCAAACGGCAAAATTCAATTGGGATTTCACCTTTGTTTCTGATGCTTGCATGTTGCAGCCATCTCCCCCTAACATCAAGGTCATCTGTTTTGTCTGCCTGCTCTACACCATTGCTTATGTAACAGTGTTTTTGGAAGCCTATGCTTTGCGTGTACGAAGAAAAATTTCAGCAGCCTTCTTTGAGCATCGAGAAATTGAAAGGATCAACTATCTGCACCAAAAAATTCTGACAGACTCAGAACATCAATTTGAAAACAAAACCGCTGTCTTTACTGTGTCGGAACAATGCAATGTGACCTTTAAATAGTAATGCAAAATATGACTGCAGCCTATTGGCTGGCTTACATCTTGAAATATACATTAAAAAATCAGAGGAGTAAAAATTAAATTTAAAAATTCAGTGTGAAAATTGATACTGCTCTCAGGTTAATGGTATGTCACTTTCAGAACCAACACCCTTTGGTATTTCGCTGGGTTGAAACACTGTTAATTGTAGTATACTGCAGAGCATGGCACATAATTGTCATGGAAGGATCATGCACATTATACAGTCTGACTTGGTGGTATTCACAGCATTAAATTATGCATAGAGCATGGAAGTGCTGTCACAAAATTATTTTAATTACACCAGGTGGCATCCCCAAAAGCAGCCAATAAACTTACCACAAATTCACCTTTCAAGCGTGCAAACAAAATATTCAGTTCAACTTGACAAAAGATTCCTTTTTCATTCCACAACATTCACTACTGACTGGACTGACCACCTGAAGAATCATGGGATTTCTGGAAAGTCCCAGAAATGGCCCCATAGCACCAAAATTTAGTTCCCCTTTCTAATAATCTACAAGAATCCCACATCCCATCAAAGGGGACATCCCATCAGGGTCTCAAAATAAGCAGTTAACAAGAGAGCTCATTGAGCTTGCTCCTTACAGCCAGACATTGATAATATGATGTCCCAAATTTATTTAACCTCCACAGTTAGACAACTGTAGAATTCCCATGAGTCTCTCCTCTGATTCCGAAAGGCAACTGAGAGTAGCCTGCAATATGTAACAATAAAATAATTACAACCAACATTATTCAATGCTGAACTACTATGGGTTTATGATTCATTGCTTCACTGGTACCATGCTTTTTATTTTTATGAGCGCTAAATTATTTTAATGTGTGTCACATGTTCAAAGTTCAAAGAAAATTCAGCAAATGCCACAACTGTTTTCTGTGCCATTGTCTTTAGATTATATAAAGTCTGAAACAACAACACAAAACCTAAAGCTGGCTGATAAAAAGAATTAGACAATATTCTGGTATTAAATGCTCGGTCATAGACAAGTGTGAGGTTATCCATTTTGGATTGATCAGGGTACTTCCTTAATGGTATGAATTTATATACAGTGGATGTCCAAAGAGACCTGGGGCTCTGGGTGCATACATCTTTAAAATGCCACAAACAGGTGCAGAAAATAATCAAGAAGACTAATGGAATGCTTGCCTTTATATCCAGAGGAGAAGGATGCAGAAATTATGCTGCCATTATACAAAAGCCTGTTTAGACCCCCTGTGGAATATCGTGAGCAGATCTGGGCATCATAGCTTAGGAAGGATATACTGGCCTTGGAGGGAAGGCCATGTCGGTTTACAAGTACGGTAACTGGATTTCAGGGTTATTTTATGAAGAGAGATTTCACAAATCAGGCCTGAATTTATTTTTCCACACAATTTAGAAGGTTAAGGGGTGATCTATATAGAATCCCTACAATGTAGAAACAGGCCCTTCGGCCCAACAAGTCCACACCAACCCGTGGTGGATCCCACCCAGACCCATCCCCTATAACCCCCAAATCTACATATCCCTGAACACTATGGGCAATTGAGCCCAGCCAATCCACCTAACCTGCACGTCTTTGGACTGTGGGAGGAAACCAGAGCAAACCCACGCAGACACTGGGAGAATGTGCAAACTCCACGCAGACAGTCACCCAAGGGTGGAATCGAACCCGGGTCCCTGGTGCTGTGAGGCAGCAGTGCTAACCACTGAGCCACGGTGCCGCCATAATATCTGATTGACGTCTTCACAATATTAGCAGGAATATCTGGGTAGATAAAGATAAGCTGGTTAGGGATTCTAGAACTAGGGAGCATAGTTTAAAAATTAGGGCTAGACCTTTCAGGACAGATGTTAGGAAGCACTTCCCCACACAAACGGTGGTAGAGGTTTAGAACTCTCTTCCACAAATGGCAGTGGGTGCTGGATGCAGCTGTTAATTTTAAATCTGAGATAGCTTTTTCTCATTAGCAAAGGTATTAAGGATATGGGCCAAAGGCAGGTATATGGAGTTAAGCCACAGATCAGCTAAGATCTCATTGAATGGTGGAACAGGCTCAAAGGGCTGAATGGTCTATTCCTGTTCTTATATTTCTGTACTCAGTATAAATGATAAAAGTTCTGTCCTGCTTACTTGTCGCAAGAAGCCCTATGTTGTATGTGTCTTTTTTATTACTCATAAGTAGTTTGGAACTTACTGCAGAAAATTAGCATTTTTTGAATACTACTTGCTGGAAAGCTGTGTGTGTGCGTGCATATGTGAGTGTCTGTGTCTGTGTGTCCGTGTGTGTCTCTGTGTGTATGTGTGTGTGTATGTGTGTGCGCGTGTGCACGTGCGTGTGTGTGTGTGCATGCGTGAGCGTGTCAGTGTGTGTGTGTGTGTGTGTGTGAAAACAATACTATCTCAGTTATAGAACAGCAATTGAGTTTTCCAAATGAACTTTTTCAATAAAAATTAGTTGTAAAGTGTATTAGAGATTTATTTCTGTCTCATTATTGTATTATATCTGTTCATAGCATCTGCCACTGTTGTTTAGGAAATACTTAGTTGTGTTATGTAAATAATGACGATTACCACTCTTTCTGTAAAAGCAGATACGATACAGTAGTAGTCAAATTATTTGACTAATAATCACAGAGAAAGAGACTTTAAACCCCTCCATGCCAGTTCAGCACGTCTTCATGGACTGGAAAGAGAGATAGACTGGAATCGTCAATTCCCATTTTCCTTCTGTTGGTAGTTTAATGTTGATAAAAGGTTGCTGTGTGTTCCCAAAACCTTGTTGGCGTGTGATCAATTTAAAAGTCACCATTCGCAGATTTTCAAGGATTTACGCAAGGACTATTAATTATTCACACCAGAAAGGTTACGCTACATTCATTACAAACATACACCCAGGAAACATACAAATTAAAGAAGCTATTGTATTTCTACAAGTATAAAAACCAGAGTAGTCAGCAGCTGAACTGTGTTTCAGAGTCCAGTGAAGGAGGGAACATTTTCCACATTGGACAGCTACATTCAGATGGTGAAATAACTGCACAGAGGCTGGTATCGTGACGTCAAATCACTCTATATTTACACGTGCGCAGTACAGTGGCTGTGACCAGTCAGCTCGGAGTCAGTCCCTGAAGTGAGGAGACTCTGAATCCCCTGTTTATATCCGCCAGCCAGAACTCCCTGATCGGCCCAGGTTAACAACCCCAATGAGGGATCTCATAGTCAATAAGATCCACCTGGTTCCAATCGCTACAGATGGGTAGCTCAGATCTGAATGAACTCCTTCGAAGTAAAGCCTGTTCAGCTGGCTGTGTAAAACAGTCCAGGTAGCTGTTAAACGAGATCCAATTTCATTCAGGTTTACTTGGAGCAATTCAGAAACAAGCTGAAGGAGACTATTAAAAGACAAAGCTGTGTGATTCTTGAAAGGCAAGATGGCACAGAAGTTCCCTCCTTCACTGCTGCTGCGGTGTTGTTAGTGGTTCTCAGAAGACTGCCCAGGTCTCTCTCAGTTTTTGGGATAAAACTATTTTAGGATCATAAAACATTTTGATCACTTGATCTATTTAAGCGGGTACCCAACCTATTAAAATCCTATCCAGAACTTTCCAGAAAACTTGCTGCTAAAGTTGAAGAAGTCAGGTGACCCCCTTGGCAGCCATTTTAACAGTTCAATACTTCATCCTTTTTAAAAAGGAATATAGTTTCATTTTGAAGTTTTATATTATATGTACACACACACACATATATATATATACATATATATAAAAATACATATAACAACCTATTCTGAAATCCCTTGGATCCTATAGCATCCAAAGGATAACAATTTTTTTATCTTTCAAATATCCTCTGTGGATCAGTTTTTTAAAAATGATTATCCAACAGTTTTCTGAACATTTCTGGTATCAACTTTTAATTTTCAGATTTTGAACTGAATTCAAATTGTCATGCCAGTACAGGTATGAAGGTATTTTATTCTATTTAATATATATATTGAAATACCTTTATATTTAATATATATTGAAATACCTTCATACCTGCAATGACAATGACAGTATGAATTCATGTGAAAGTCTGTAAATTAAAAGTCGATATCAGTAGAGTCCACAAAGCTGTTGGATAATCATTAAAAAAAACTGATCCACAGAGGATATTTGAAAGGTAAAAAAAATTGAATGCTATGGGATACAAGGGATTTGGGAATAGGTTCAGGAAGTATTGAGACATTGAATTAGACAAGATTCTACTGAGTTGTAAAGGAAGCTTGGGAGATAGTATGAGTCTAATCTGCCTCTATTTATTATGTGATTACATAGGCTATTCTATCTTTGATTCTGATTCCACATCAATGTGGTTAGCCTCAGACAGAATCATACAGCATGCAAATCAGACCCTTCAGAACAATTCCTTCACACCAATCAAACATCCCAATCTGCCCTAGTCCCATTTGCCAGCATTTGGTCCATATCCCTCTAAGCACTTCCTATTCATATCCCCATCTAGATGCCTTTTAAATGTTGCAATTATACCCACCCCTCCACCACTTCCTCTGGCAGCTCATTCTTACACGCATCACCTTCTATGTGAAAAAGTTTCCCCTTAGGTCCTGCATAAGTCTTCCCCTTCTCACCTAAAACCTATGTACTCAGGTTTTGGACTCCCCCATCCTAGGAAAGAGAATTTGGCTATTTACCCTATCCATGCCCCTCATGATTTTATAAACTTCTATAAGGTCACCCCTCAGCCTCTAACGGTCCAGGGAAAAAAGTCCCAGCTTATTCAGCCTCTCCCTGTAGCTCAAACCCTCCATCCCTGGCAACATCCTTGTAAATCTTTTCCGTACCCTCTCAAGTTTAACAACATCCTGAAGAAGGACATCCACAATTGTACACAATATTCTACAAGTGGCTTCACCAATGTCCTGTATAGCTGCAACATGACCTCCCAACTCCTGTACTCAATATTCTGACCAATGAAGGCAAGCATACCAAATACCTTCTTTCCCACCCTGTCTACCTGCGACTCCACTTACAGGGAAATGTGCATCTGCATCCCTACATCTTTTTATTCGCCAATACTCCTCAGGGCCTTACCTTTAACTGTATAAGTCCTGCCCAGATTTGCCTTACCTAAATGCAAAACTTCATATTTATCCAAATTAAGCTCCATTCTGCCACTCCTCAGCCCATTTGCCGATCTGATCAAGGTCCCATTTTACTTTGAGATAATCTTCTTCACTGTCCACGACACCACCTATTTTGATGTCATTTGCAAACTTACTAACTATGCCTCCTATATTCACTTCCAAATCAATTAAATAAATGGCTAAAAGCAGTGGACCCAGCCCCAATCCTTGTGGCACACCGCTGGTCACAGGCCTCCAGTCCGAAAAGCAACCCTCTACCTCCACCCTCTATCTCCTACCTTCAAGTCAATTTTGTATCTGATTGGCTAGGTCCCCCAGGATCCCAGGTGATCTAACCTTACCAACCAGTCGACCATGCGGAACCTTGTCAAATACTTCGCTGATATCCATATGGACAATGTCCACCACTTTGCCTCCATCAGTCTTCTTTTTCACCTCAACCATGGTCCAGGCTCTGACTGACTTCGACAGACAGCTCTTCGTACTATCTGACTGGATCCCTGACTGATCTCTGTGCAGCTCCCCAAATGACTTACTGCAGCTCTCGACTGGGAGTACCATGGAG